GCAGGCGTGCCTGGCGTGCTGAATCCTTTCGGTTTTGGTTTTGAACTTTTTCCCAAGGGACTCCCCCTGGGGCTTCGGCCCGTCCCGCCGGCCACCCGGAAAGATCTTCCAGGATCTCAAAGCCAAGATGGCTCAAGATGGCCTCCAAAATGGCCACGTTGGCCCAAGATGGCCTCCAAGATGGTCCAAGACCAAGACGGCCCAAGAGAGGAGGAGATGCCTCCAAGTCCGCCCAAGAAACCTCCAAGACGGCCCAAGACGGCCCAAGAGGTGCCCAAGAGGCCTCCAAGACGGCCTCAGAGGCCTCCGAGAGGTCTTCCAGGAGGGCCCGAAGAGGCTAAAGTTTTTACAGGTTTTTCGTTTTTGCTCCTTTTCGGCTTTCCGACGACCCATGACGGCCCAAGAGGCACCCAAGATCGCCCCCAGAGCGTCCAAGAGGCCTCCAAGATGGCCTCAGGACTGCCCAAAGAGGCCCCCAAGACAGCCCCAAGAGGGCACAAAGACGACCCAAGAGGCCTCCAAGACGCCCAAGATGGCCTCGAAGACAGCCCTGGAGCACCCCAAGAGGGCCCCAAGTCGGCCCAGAGAGGCCCCCAAGACGGCTTCCGACGGCGTCAGACGGGCCAGGAGCCCACCAAGATGGCCGAAGTTGGCTCGAAGCTGGCCCAAGACGGCCCAAGAGGCCTCCAAGAGGGCCTCCAGGAAGGCCCGAAAAGGCCAAATACATTGATTGTCCCAAGGTTTTTGACAGATTTTGACATTTGCTTCTTTGCGGCCTTCCGACGGCCCGAGACGGCCCAAGAGCACCCAAAGATCGCCCAAGAGGCCTCCAAGATGGCCCCAGAACGGCCCAAGAGGCCCCCAAGACGGCCCCAAGAGGCCGCCAAGACAGCCCAGGAGGCCTTTAAGATGCCAAGATGACCTCCAAGACGGCCCTGGAGCATTCCAAGAGGGCCCCAAGTCGGCCCAGAGAGGCCCCCAAGACGGCTTCCGACGGCGTCAGACGGGCCAGGAGCCCACCAAGATGGCCGAAGTTGGCTCGAAGCTGGCCCAAGACGGCTCAAGAGGCCTCCAAGAGGGCCTCCAGGAAGGCCCGAACAGGCCAAAATCATTAATTTCCCATGAGTTTTTTGAAGGATTGTGGCATTTGTTTGTTGTTCGGCCATCCGACGGCCCGAGACGACCCAAGTGCCCCCAAAGATCGCCCAAGAGGCCCAAGAACGGCCCAAGAGTCCCCCAAGACGGCCCCAAGAGGCCCCCAAGACGGCCCAAGAGGCCCCCAAGACGGCCCAATAGCCTTCTAAGACGTCCTCCAAGAAGGCCCGGAAGGGTCAAAATGGCCTCCAGACGGCCAAGATGACTTTCAAGATGCCCACGTGTTCCCCGAAGGCTTTCCAAACCGATTCGGGGAACACATGGTCCGACAGCTTGGCAGGTCTGGCCTCAACGTTTGGCCACAGAGGCGCTTCCAAAAAGGCAGGGGGCGGCGGTGATTCGCCGTAGGCGTCTTCGATCCGCCGCCCCCTGTTGGCTTGCCACAGGGGTGCCTGGCGTGCTGAATCCTTTCGGTTTTGGTTTTGGTTCTTTTTCCCAAGAAACTCCCCCTGGGGCTTCGGCCCGTCCCGCTGGACACCCGGAAATATTGCTCGGCTTCTCCGGAGGTGGTTGCAAAGGGTTTTTCCTGCTCCAGACGGCTCCAAGACTGCCCAAGATGGCCTCCAAGACGGCCAACATGGCCTCCAAAACGGCTCAGATGGCCCCGAGATGCCTCCAAGATGGCCCAAGATGCCTCCAAAACGGCCTAAGATAGCCTCCGGATGGTTCAAGACGGCCCCAGAGGCCCCCAAGAGCCCCCCAAGACGCCTCCAAGAGGTCCTCAAGGAGGGCCCTAAGAGGCCCACAACATTGTTTTTCCGTTGGTTTTTGAAAGATTTTGGCATTTGCTTCTTTTCGGCCTTCCGAAGACCTCACAACGGCCCACGAGGCCCCCAAGATCGCCCCAAGATCGCCCACGAGGACTCCAAGATAGGCCCATGACGGCCCAAGAGGCCCCCAAGGCAGCCCCAAGAGGGCCCCAAGAGGGCCCAAGAGGCCTCCAAGACGCCCAAGATGGCCTCCAAGACGGCTACGATGGCCCCAAGATGCCTCCAACACGGCCCAAGATGCACCCAAGACGGCCTGAGATGGCCTCCAGATGGCCTAAGATGGCCCAAGAGGCCCCCAAGAGGCCTCCAATCCGACGGCTCAAGACGGCCCAAGAGGCCCCCAAGATCGCCCACGAGGCCTCCAAGATGGCCCCATGCCCAAGAGGGCCCAAGAGGCCTCCAAGACGGCCAAAATGGCCTCCAAGACGGCTAAGATGGCCCCAAGATGCCTCCAACACGGCCCAAGATGCACCCAAGACAACCTAAGACGGCCTCAAAAAGGCCCAAGACGGCCCAAGAGGCCTCCGAGACGGCCCCAAAGGCGTCCAGGAGGTCTTCCAGAAGGGCCCGAAGAGGCCAAAATCATTGATCTTCCTTAGGTTTTTCATAAGTTTTGGCATTTGCTTCTTCTCGGCATTCCGACGGCTCACGACGGCCCAAGAGGCCCCCAAGATCGCCCAAGAGGCCTCCAAGTTGGCCCCATGACGGCCCAAAAAGGCTCCCACGACTGCCCCAAGAGGGCCCCAAAACGGCCCAAGAGGCCTCCAAGACGCCCAAAATGGCATCTAAGAACCTCTGATCTGCCCCAAGAGGGCCCCAAGACGACCCAGACAGGCCCCCAAGACGGCTTCCGACGGCGTCAGACAAGCCAGGAACGCCCTAAGACGGCCAAAGAGGCCCACAAGAAGCCCCCCCCAAAGCCCCCAACAACCCTCCAAGAGGCCCCCAGGAAGCTCCCAGGAGGCCCCAAGAGTGCCCGAAGATGCGCCCAAGAGGCCTCCTCCTCCTCCTCCTCCTCCTCCTCCTTCTCTTTTTTCCTCATCCTCCCCCTCCTCCTCTTCTTGCTCCCCCATGCGTTCCCCAAAGTCTTTCCAAACCGACTCGGGAACAACTGGCCCGATAGCTTGGCCAAGCTCTGGGCCAGCTGTCGGCCACAGAGGCGCTTCCAAAGGGGCAGGGGGCGGCGGTGATTCGCCGTAGTCGTCTTCGATCCGCCGCCCCCTGTCGATTCATAGCAAGGGTGCCTGGAGTGCTAGCTGGGGCTTCGGCCCGTCCCGCCGGCCACCCGGAAAGGACCTCAATCCCCAATGTTTCGCTCAAGATGACCCAAGATGGCCTCTAAGATGCCTCCAAGACGGCCAAGATGGCCTCCAAGACGGCTAAGATGGCCCCCAAATGACTGCAAGACGGCCCAAGATGTACCCAGGAAGGCCTAATATAGCCTCAAGATGGCCCAGGACGGCCCAAAAGCCCCCTAAGAGGTCTCCAAGACAGCCCAAGAAGCCTCCAAGAGGTCCTCCAGGAAGGCCCGAAGAGGCCAAAATCATTGATTGTTCTTAGGCGTTTGACGGACTTCGGCATTTTCGCCTTGTCGGCCTTCCGACGGCCCAAGAGGCCCCCAAGATCGCCCCAAGATCGCCCACGAGGACTCCAAGATGGCCCCATGACGGCCCAAGAGGCCCCCAAGATGGCCCCATGAGGGCCCCAAGACGGCCCAAGAGGCCTCCAAGACGCCCAAGATGCCTCCAAGACGGCTAAGATGGCCCCAAGATGCCTCCAAGACGGCCCAATATTCACCCAAGACGACCTGAGATGGCCTCAAGATGGCCTAAGACGGCCCAAGAGGCCCCCAAGAGGCCTTCAAGACGGTCCAAGAGGCCTCCAAGAGGTCCTCCAGCAGGGCCCGAAGAGGTCAAAATCATTGATTGTCCTTTGGTTTTTGACGGATTTTGGCATTTGCTTCTCCTCGGCATTCCGACGGCTCAAGACGGCGCAAGAGGCCCCCAAGATCGCCCACGAGGACTCCAAGATGGCCCCATGACGGCCCAAGAGGCCGCCAAGACGGCCCCAAGCGGGCCCAAGAGGCCTCCAAGACGGCCAACATGGCCTCCAAGACGGCTAATGCCCCCAAGACGGCCCAAGACGGCCTAAGATGGCCTCCGGATTGCCCAAGAAGCCCCCCAAAGGCCTCCAAGACGGCCCAAAAGGCGTCCAGGAGGGCCCGAAAAGGCCAACATCATTGATTTTCCTAAGGGTTTTTGTGTTTTGAAAGATTGCCCCACGAGGGCCCCAACACGACCCTGACAGGCCCCTAAGACGTCTTCCGACGGCGTCAAACAAGCCATGAGCGCCCTAAGACGGCCAAAGAGGCCCCCAAGAAGCCCCCTAAGGCCCCCAACGACCCTCCAAGAAGCCCCCCCAGGAAGCTCCCAGGAGGCCCCAAGAGTGCCCCAAGATGCGCCCAAGAGGCCTCCTCCTCCTCATCCTCCTCTTTTTTCCTCATCCTGCCCCTCCTCTTCTTCTTGCTCCCCCATGCGTTCCCCGAAGTCTTTCCAAACCGACTCGGGAACAACTGGCCCGATAGTTTGGCCAAGCTCTGGCCCAGCTGTCGGCCACAGACGCGCTTCCAAAGGGGCAGGGGGCGGCGGTGATTCGCCGTAGGCGTCTTCGATAGCTGAGACTCGTGGAGCTGCGACGCCAACACACCGTATCTCCACTCTTCTCCCTCTTCGAAGCGATGCAGCTGAAGAAGCCGTGCGAACCCATTGATAACCTGCGGGGCTCGGAACGCGGCTGCCGTTTGGCGATGCAATTGGCAATGGCGATGCACGCCACCCAGGTCCTTCGAGGTAGTACCTCTCAAGTCAGTCCACGTGCTCACGTGCCCCAGCGGCTGGGCGTTCGGTCGGCCCTCTCGCCCATCATGCGGGGCCGCGAGGATCCCGGGGCCCGAGGCAGGACGAAATCGCCCCGTGGGAATGAAATTGTGACGCCAGGATCGCAGGGTCTGGGCAGGGTCCCGACGGCTGGGCGTTCGGTCGCCCCCCTCCCCTCCCAACCCCAGAAGGGCGGGGCTCCTGCAGGCACGTGCCCTTCGGAAGGTCGGGGAAGCCGTCGGTGAGGCTCCATCCGACGCCCCAGCGGCCTGCTGGCCCCGCTGCAGGTCCGCTCCTCCTCCTCCTCTTTTTTTTGTCATCCACGGCGCCTCAAACAAAGCTGCAAACTGGAGGCTAAGAATGCAGCGCCGCAACAAAACCATGGCCGCATGCCGAGAGCACTCGCCGCCTCCCCCGCCACCACCCACAGCTCTGGAACCAGGTACTGTGAGGGGCTTTGGGTTCAGCGGCTGAGATCTCAAAGGAACAAGAATTTGACCAGATCCAAATCGAGAGTCACGCCCGCTTTATCGGGGAGCTTCCCTTGCATGATTTTGTTCCAATTGCGGTTGCCTGTGGTCGTCGGCGGCTTGCAAACCTTGCCCAAATTACACGCCTGGGCGCCGGAGGAGTAAGACCGCCAAATGTGCGAATTGTCGCTAGCCTCCAGCGCGAGCACTCGGTGCTGGAGCCGATCTAAAACAACACTGTCGAGCCTGCTGTGACCTCGGCACGAACCCCCAGCAGGACGGGCGGAGATCGCCGAGCCCTTCAAGCAGACTCGACAGCGCCAGAACCCCGACATATGGGTCCACTGGTGAGGATGCCTTGGAGCAGCAGGAGGAGCAGGAGGAGGAGGAGGAACCCGCTCCAACCCCCGAAACTCCACCCGAGGAAAGAGAGGGAACACGGCAGCGGCAAGGTCTATCACACACTTGGCGATCTAGACCTTTAAATCAACTGCTTCCAAATCGCCAGCACAGAAACTGGGGGGCCACCTCACCGCTCGCTTGGCACCCAAGTCAGCGAAACTGTTGCCTTGGCGCATGAAGCGCTCTCGAGCGCTGATGCCTGACTCGTCCAGGTCCTTGTGAGCATCTACCTTGGTGAGGCTGGTGATCCTAGAACCAGCTCCAGCAGCACCGTGAATTAGAAGCCCTGAATACTGGAGCCTGGGAGACAGGTATCTGCCTGGGCCCTGGAGGAAAAGGTCGACCACATTTCTGCAGTCGCTGAAGCAGTCAGCTCCAGCCTCCAAGGAAAAGTTCAGACCCCCAAACTTCCCAAACTCGGCCGCCTGGGGGGTCTGAGGGTAGGGGGCCCAGACAGGGGCTGTGATCTCATACAGCAGGTTAGCGTTATCATCCGTCATGGCCAGGCACCAACCAGCACGGGAAAGCTCAACCACAGGATGCTTGAAACAACTGCCGTCCAGGAAAACGTGACCCCAGAGACCGAGATCAGGGTGAATTTTCACAGGGCCAGGGAGGCCTGGGGGCTGGGCTTCTGGCACCGTCCATTCCACGTGCACAACACCGTCAGACGAGGGCTTGGGAAGGTCATCTCCAGGGTGCTTGAAGGCGCCATGAACGAACAGCGTGTGTTCATAGTCGCCCGACTCCGAGTCCAGCGCGAGAGCAAGGATATCTTCAGGCACGAGCCGCTCTCGCACTTCGGCGCAAGCTGTACATTGCCAAAGCCTGTGCCAGAGCGTGTCCTCGTGCTGGCCACACAGTGCACAGGCCGAGGGGATATCGTAGCCAGCCTTCCTGGCCTCGCCACTAGTCCAGATGGCGTTGCTGGCGAGGGCCCTCATGGTGGACTTGTCCTTGAAAGAGACCTCGCTGGACCTAAGCTTTTCAAACAACATTTCCCAACAGAGACGGTGGGGAACTCCGAACTTCGGGCCCGATTCCCTCTCCAAGCCCCTGAACACCGCAGCCTTTGCAAGCTGCCCGACGAGCCTCGGAGAGAGGATGAGCAGGTTGAGGAGGTGGCCCCTGTCGTCCACGCACTCGCAGAACGAGTTCATGGACCACCCAAGCCTGTAGAGGGTCATCCTGAGAGCACTGAGGGGCCCAGAAACCTTGGCCCAAGACCAATCGTCCCTACACAAAACCGAGTTCCAAGCATGCCTCAGAAGCCCAAAGGAGAGAGACCCCGAGAACTGTCTAGTCTAAGTTAACCACAGCTCTTTGGCATAGCAAACCAAAGGGGCAACGCTGACCCTCCACGGCGGATCCCCTTCCAGAAGAGAGATCGCAGTGAGAGAGCGGTGCTGCGACTTAGGAGATATCGTAGACATCCCAAGGGAGCGAAGCTGGTGCAACTCTCTATCACTGATGCCAAAAACTTCCGCTCCGAAAGTGCCGCTCGCCAAGGGACCCGCGGTGAAAATGCGGAGAGATTTACTGCCCAGGACCTCCTCCTCCTCCTCCTCCTCCTCCTCCCCCTCCTCCTCCTCCTCCAGCCCCTCCTGCTCCTGCTCCTGGTCCTCCTCCTCCTCCCTCTGGGGGCGCCCGATGTGGTGAAAGTCAAGGCGCACTCGGGCCGTGACCCCGCGGCCCTCGAGGGCCTCGAGAGGCTCGACGTCCTCGGGAACGCCCAGGCCGACCACGAGGCCAAACCTGGAGCTGCGTTAGGTGACCTCCCGGAGAGGCTAAAGAAAGTCTGATAGAAGCGTGCAGATGATGACTGCAACATGGGCAATGTTGTGGCCAGCATGGCCATGCACGCTGGTACTCTTGCAGACACCAGCGGCCGTCAGAACCAAAGGGGGGGCCGGGAGAGGCGTTGGGCTCGCGTTGGGCCTCCTCCTGGGACCTCCCCTCACTCCCTCCTCTGGGAAAGAGTGGCTTGGCGGTGTCAGAATTGGGGCTGCGGAAGGCATGCCCGCACCTGGCAGGGCAAAGAAACCCTCCTCATGACGCCCTGCCGACAAGCGCCTGCGAAGGATGCCCGATTTTCGCCCGCCCCGAGGGCGGCCCCCCAGCAGCTACCGTTGCGCCGTCATGTCTTTTTGCGTGCTGCTGGACGTGTTCTGCTTTGTGGCAATTGTGGGGCCTTCTCGAGCGCCAGGGCTAAGATCCTTCAGACTTGTGAGGGTGCGCCTGCCCACGCCCAGGCAAAGTGCAGGCGAGGCAAGGTTCTGCGGGGCCAGCACCTTTACACTGGCCGGCGCCTGTTTGAGGGCCATGCGGTCGCCCTCTCGCCGCAGGAGAATGCTGAGATGCATGCTCTCCTGCAGCCACGAGCTCCGCGGGTGGCGCAAGTGGTAAGTGGGTCGCGCGTCGGCCTGGCCCAGAATAGACCCAAGCGCCACCCAGCGGGGCTCCGAATGACCTCGGTGAGCTGCGTCGCGCCACTCGGACACTTCGCCCACACACTCCTCCTCCTCCTCCTCCTCCTCCTCCTCCTCCTCCTCCTCCTCCTCCTCCTCCTCCTCCTCCTCCTCCTCCTCCTCCTCCTCCTCCTCTCCTCCTCCTCCTCCTCCCCCCCCCTCCCCCTCCTCCCCCTCCTCCCCCTCCTCCCTCCTCCTCCCTCCACCTCCTCCTCCTCCTCCTCCTCCTCCTCCTCCTCCTCCTCCTCCTCTCTCCTCCTCTTCTCCTCCTCCTCCTCCTCCCCTCCTCCCCCTCCCCCTCCTCCTCCTCCTCCTCCTCCTCCTCCTCCTCCTCCTCCTCCTCCTCCTCCTCCTCCTCCTCCTCCTCCTCTCCCCCTCCCCCTCCTCCCTCCTCCTCCAGCTCCTCCTGCTCCTCCTCCTCCTCCTCCTCCTCCTCCTCCTCCTCCTCCTCCCAGCCTGCAGGATCGGCTTGCATCGAATCGGGACGTCGGATCGGATTGGGGTGTGCCCCGAGGACGAAAGACCTCCACAACGCACACGAGCGCCCGTGCGAATATCGGGCCGCATCGGATCGTCGAAACATCGGAGTCGAATCGCATCGGGCCGGCCGGAATCGGCATCGAATCGGACTGGTCGGATCGAAATGGGCCCTGCCCTGACCTGACGCCTCTGGAAGCGTCGACGCTCCGCCTCGGCGGTGAGGACCGACGACCAGCTGATTCCGTGACATTTGGCGTGCGCACCGTCAGCACAGCCCAGACATCCAACGGACGGTAGAGGGAAACAATCAGTGAACACCCCCCTCCTGCCCCCCAAACTCAAAGTTGGCACGCGCGGGGGAGACTGCGGTCGAGGTGCAACTCATCAGACCCACCGCCAACTTTGAACATTGGGGGAAGGGGGAGGCGGTCACAGATGAACGTGGCATGAGTGTTCGCTATTTTTTTCCGAGGCCTGGACTTCATTCTGTTCACTCTCGGCGCTTTCCTTCAATGTCGGTCTCCACGGGCCCCTTCTCGGCCCCCAGGACACTGCCTTCCCCTGGGGCAGGGGTCGAGACCTCTGCGGCCGCGGATTTTAAATGGTCGCATCGTCGGACGCCTGGGCGTCAGTGGTCAGAAGAGTCCTGCACGATATATAACGTCAGCTCGATGCTGACAAACGCTGCACCGACGTGACTGGATGGAAGATTGACAATCCGGATTTTTGACGTATCTGGTAACTTTGTGTTGGCCTCCAAAGCCGCCGCGGGGGCCCCAAAGATCTCCAGGGAATTCCGGGGACCTCCTCCTTCGCGTCGCTCCGGAACGAAGGGTCCGGCGCTTGTCCACCGAGGCACTGCGTCTGCACGCAGGTGTTCTTGCATGCGTTTCAGGTATGTCTTCCGCATGCTATTTTCTGCCGATGCGCCGTCCGGGCGCGGCTCCTGCCTGCCTCCTTCGCGTCGGGGACGCCGCCTTCGCTCGAGCAGCGAGATGCCTAGACTTCAGACGTCATGATATGTCATGATCTGTTCAACATTGGCGTTTTTCCTGACAAGTACAGCGCCGATCGGAAAACATTCAGGATGAAAAGCTTGTCCTTTGAAGGGGTCGAGAAACCTGGGGGCACGAGAGATACCAGTGATGTTGGACGCTCTTGGCCCCGTTTGAACGTCTGGAGACCTCTGGAAACCTGGCAGAGGGGCCCAGCAGGGTGCAGATTTGCCCCGAGATGGCCGCAAGAGAATCCAGAGGAAGCCCCTGAAGCCCCCAAACAGCCCCCTAAGAGGCCTCAGACACACAACGAAGAGCCGAGGAGGGGACCCGAGAAAAGTTCAACAGGGTTAGGGGTCATTGGGAGAGCCCCTAGAGGACTCGAATAATGTAATGCCCAAGAGGGCCCACGATTGCCTCCAAGTGTTTGGGCACCCGCGCGTCGTGGCCGTAGACACCGGGAACATTCGCATGGCCCTAGGAGCGCGCCAAGTTAGACAGCTGCCTTTCGTTTCTGCCTCGCTGGCAACGCCGCCGCAAAAGAGAGCAGCTGGTCTTAAGGGGCTCGCGCCCTCCCTGCACCCCCCAGCTCCCTCGCTCCTCTTGGTGATCCTCCAACTCATCCTCCCCCCTGCCTCCTTCTCAACTACAGGGCGGTACATCTCGGTGTCCTGCAGTATCCTGCCGCTCGCGGCAGCGACGCCTCGTGCGTAGAAGGTGACGAACAGCCATGCCGCTTCTAGTCTCAACCACCTTAGCCCCACCAGCCCTTTGGGCTAAGGTGGGCTAGCGAGCCTTCTTTTTCTCTTCCAAAAACCCTCTTCCCTTCGGGGATGGGTACCCTCCCCTACCAAGATGGCTCCCCTCCAAGATGGCTCAAGGTAACCGACGATGGTTCAAAATAGCTTCCGACAAAGACGGTTCCAAGTGATCTCGGAGACCCCTCAGGACCCCCCTCAAGAGGCCACAATCATGCAAAAACCTGAGGAACGAACACTGATGTTTGACTTCTCGCCGTTTCGCACCCGATGCGCTTTTGAGACCTCAAGACGGCCCCAAGATGGCCCAGGAGGGGCCCAAGAGGGGTCCAAGAGCGACCCCCCAGACGGCCCCAAGAGCGCCCCACGAACGCCCCAAGAGGTAATTAGGATGGTCCCAGGAGGGGTGGGGGCGGGGGCGGGGGGGGGGGGGGGGGGGGGGGGGGGGGGGGGGGGGGGGGGGGGGGGGGGCGAAAATTGTGACAGCTCCCTTTTGATCGATGGCCTCCAAGATGGCCCCAAGAGGCTGTCCAGGGCTTCCAAACGACCCCCAAGAGGGCTCCAAGAGAGCCCCAAGCGGGCCCCTTGACACCCCAAAAAGGCCCCAACATGACCCCAAGATCACCCAAAAGAGTTCCAAGAGGGCTCCAAGATGCGATTTGAGGGCTCTGCTTTCGTCCTCGTTGTCTTTCTCCTCCTCCTCCTCCTCGTCCTTGCCCCCATCGTCTTCCCCGTTTCCTTTTCCTCCTCTTCCTCGTGGTGCTCCTCCTTTTCCTCTTTCTCCTCCTCCTCCTCCTCTTCCTCCTCTTTCCCTCATCCCCACGCGAGCCCCAAGGATGGCCCGAAAAGACCCTCCAAGGCCACCTCCTTGCTCCCTGAGATCTCTCTGTTCACCCTAGTTGCCTGCTTCGTTTCACAGCATGTGCCTCTTCGTCCCTTTTCCCGTCAACTTTCATGGGCAGGGTTTGTGAATGGGCTGGTGGGGATACGCGAAGCGTGAATGGTATCTTTTAGCTATACTGCCACCCTTCGGGTGATAAGGAGGCTCGGGAGGGGGGAGGAACCAATGTCTCACCCAATCGATCTCACTATCGATCTCACCATCGATCACACTATCGATCGCACAATCGATCTCACTATCGACATCACAATCGATCTCACTATCCCGCTCACGATCGATCTCACTATCGATCGCATTATCGGTCTGACAATCGATCGCACTATCAATCTCACTATCGATCTCGTTATCGACCTCACTATCGATCTCACTCTCCATCTCACCATTGATCTCACCATTAATCTCACCATCGATCTCACGGGACACGACGAGAGACACCACGGCGGGACACCCCCGGCACCCGCTCGTCACGCGGCCAAGGAGGGGAGGGGGGCGGACTTCTGTCCTCGCCGCGACCTAGCCAGAGGAGGATTCATTCCCCCCGACTGCCCACGCAGCTCCGCTTCGCCCACACGCACGACACGAACCCGAAACCGATGTCCCAGTAGGGGGGCTCTCCGTTTCACTTCGGGGCCAAGCTCGCGGTCGGTGCCGCCCCTCCAGGCGCCATGGAGGAAATTATTCAGAACGTATTTCCTGAGTGATCGATTGCCTTGTGCGGGCCTGTGGCCCATTCCATATCCTGCGTACGCTGATGGGCACCTACATATTCAATGTCATAATGAAGTGGATTGTGTTGACCTAGTCTTGAAAGGTGCGGCAGCATACCTTTGGTCTGGGGCTCTGCTGCTTAATGCTGGCGTGTTGTTTTCTCAACCGCTCTTAAACAACATCTCACTCAAGCTGTACACTGTAGCTGTGGTCTCGTACGCTCTGGCATGTGTTGACCTACTATTGAAAGGTGCTGCATAACTATGGTCTGGGGCCCTGCTGCATACTGCTGGTATGTTTGTAAACCGCTTTAGAACAACATCCCACTGAAGTTATGGTTGTGGTCTCGTACGCCCTGGCATCTAGTATCGCAATGCCTTGTTCTTGCCTATTCGGACTTTCAAGCTTGAAATTGCTGCCGCTGCCGCCGCCTTGCCTCTGCTCGAGTTTGTGTCGGAATTTGCGTGATCTCAATAGGGGTCGATATTACTAAATCGAACGTCCCTTGTGCCCCATACGTCGGCGCGATGATTCCCCAATGCCCTAGATGTGCCTGTCGGGACCTGTCTAGCCCCCCCCCGCCTGTCTCATCGTTTCTAACCCAGCTTCGGCTGGCAGCCGTGTGTAATCCCACGAATTGCTCCGAAATCCTCTCCATATGACCGCTTGCCTAAGCGCCCACGACTTAGTTTTGTGAAATGGCCTATGCTGGTCTGCGGTTCACCCTTGATTCCTGGCAAACTTGAATCACGGCGCGCCTCGATGTCACGTGATTATTATCGATCTATGCTCGACCCTGGAACACCAGGCGGGGTGCAAAAGAGTGCGGAATGCGAGCAGGCCGTCACGCGTGCACGCTGCGCGACGACGACGTGCAGCGAGTCGCCCACACGTGCCTTCTGAAAGCTCCTGGTTCCACGTCCTCCTCACTCCCTCCCTCCCACCCTCCCTCCCTCCCCCTCCCCTCCACCTCCCCCTCCTCCTCCATCAAGCAACTTGGGCTCGAGCACCATTTGGGCAGCTCGCGCCCAGCTCTCACCGCCTTCACGATGTGCTTGGGGGACAATCAGCCTGCTGCGCCAGCGTGCAGCAGTTCCCAGGCTGCCCGAGTGTGCAGACGCTCTGATTGGCCAAAATGAGGTGACGAAGGCTACGGGGAACGCTGGCAGCTGGTCGTGGTCCAAGTGCGCCGCATGTGGCAAATGCGAATGCAACGCGACTCTGAAGTCCCGCGGCAGGAGTGCTACGGCTGCGGGTGCCAGGCCAGGCCAAGCTGTGCCATCCCACTCTCCCAGGAGGCGAATGGTCCGAAGACTGGCGCGGGGAACCCCAGTTCGGCGTCAACTGACATCGAGCTGCTGGCCTCCACGCTCGCGGAGACTACGGACCCCCTCCTCAGGAAGCTGCTGGGCGACGAGATCCAGACGAAGAAGAAGGACCGAGCGAAGCCCTCCCCAAACCCCGACGAGGCCGTGCGCCAGACGGCGGGAGCTTGGAGAGCGGGCTCTACACAGCCAGGAAACATGTAACAACATCAACAAGACGAACATCGTGAATGATCTGCAGACGGCAACGCCCAAAACGGATTCAGTGATATTCGCCTTTCAATGTTGGCGGCGTGCGCAGGCGTGCACCATGGGCCAGGTCATTGATAAGCCACACTTTGGTTTGCGCGCCCAATGGCAACATTGGGAGGCGGACGCCATTTAATGCCCGGGTGCTCTTCCAAGCTAATCCATCACAGGGCCGCTGGCGTAGGCGGTTCCACGTTCTGCCTTGCGGTTTCGTTCCCACCAGTCGGATGGCTAACATGCAGCGTGCGATGCAGACGATACGTTTTTCCGTAACGTTGACAGGCGGATGTCACTTTGTGCGACGGGCCCCGCCTGGTCTGATTCAACATCTTTTAGGCTTCCATCCCTGTGCCACTTGTGTCATAAACTTTTTTCATGGGGATGTATGAGGCACGGCCAAGCGGTCTCGGCTGCCCTCAAGGCCAAAGACAACCTTGAGCACGCCGAGGCCAACGAGCGGGCCGCAGCGCTGGAGCTTGCCCAGGCCGATGGTCAGCAGCAAACACGCCGAGGTGAAGCAGTGGCAGGAGAAGGCGGCGGCCATGAATAATACATCACGGCGAGGATGGCCAAGAAGCGTAAGGGCGACTCGGGCGAGGCGGCACTGGCAAGCCAGCCAGACCAGCCCAAGGCAGCGGGGCCCCCACCACAGGGAGCTACAGGTGCTGCTGAAGGACCTGACCAAGTACGTCACGCAGCGGCGGCGGAAAAATTGTCGGAGACCCAATTCGCGGCGGCCAGGGCAGCCAAGGAAGCAACAGTTACAGCGACGGCCGCCCTCGACAAGGCAGCCGCGACTCCAGCATGAGATACGACGCCGAGAGCGACTTCTGGCCCAAGTGCGAGTCCGACTGGTTCGACGACTGCCAGGGCTGAGGGTCCCTTTACGGTGCAGGCTGCACAGCAGCCTCTGGGTCTACTTCAGATAATGACCAGTCCACGTTGTTTCTCGCCAGCGTCACTTGCGCTGGTCCTAAAATGTAGGATTGCATTAACTCTTCGCAGCATGGCAGTTTCCGCTTTACTGGTGCAGTTGAGTCTCATGTGGACGCTGATGGTCTGGATCACTGGCACAAGGAGGCCAAGAAGTCTGGACCCCGACTCACAGCCAACCCAGCCAGGCCATCGGGAAGAGCGACCATCGGGGACAACGAGCACCGCTCCAAAGAGGGCGGATAATGGCTTCTCTCCGAAGGTCACCGTGCCACTCACATTCTTGCCACCCACTCGTGGGCTGCGCTGCGAGCTGACGGGCACCAAGCGCTCGACGGCTTCCACGCGTCCGTCGTCGAGATGAAGGGCTAGCCCTGACGCCAAGCATTCTGAGCCTGACGGTCCTCCTCCGCCTTCGGGTTGACGCAACCTGCTGGCGCGATCATCTGGACGATGGACACTCAAATCGTAGGCAGCCTCTCTCCTGCGAGTCTGATAACGCTTCCAATGGTGGTTCCCATGCTTTCTGTCTGCGTTCTAGCTCTGCCGCCGCCATGTTCGCTTGGTGCTGGCGCCGCTTCTGGGAGGTGACCTCATGTGACCTCCTGCGTGGGCGAGTGCACATGCGTTCCCGAGCTGAGCATGATCTAGGTATGGTGTCCAATTTCAAGGGTGTCCATCGTGGCCCTCAGCTCCTCGACCGTCGGTACGAGCCAGGCCTTGGCTGCCGGCTCGCCCTCCAAGCCGTCCCCTCGTGGCTTGGTGGCGGGCGACGCCTGGCGCGGAGGAGGCTGTCCCTCTGGGAGTGGCTCGGCGGCCGCCGCTGCTGCCTCCTGCTGCCCCTGCTGAGGCTGCTGAGGTGGGCCGGACGCTGCGGCGCCAGGCCCTGCAGCTGGAGCAGTCCTGCCCAAGGCTGCTGGTACATCTGGGGCGGCATGGGTGTGGCGGGCTCCACGGGATGGGTGCCGAACCGCTCGGACTGGTAGTCCCTGGGCCCATCCCCTTCGCCATGAGGAGCTGCATCTGCGCGTTCATCTAGCTCATCTGCGCCTCCGCCGCTCGCTGCCGCGCCTCCAACCTCTGGATATGGGCCGTCATCTGATGGTTCTGCTGTACCAGCTCTGGCGCCATTGCTGCCTCCTGGACTGGCGAGGCTGCGAGCTGGTCTCTCCTGCCAATGTCCATTTAGTACGGACCGTCGGCTCCCTCTCTGACCACCTCCTGCACCTTGAGTTGCTTGAGGTGATCTAGGTAGTCCTCCAACTGGCCCATCTGCTTCCTCATGTGGTACCGCAGTTCCTGGAGCTCGTCTATATTGGCGTCGTTCTTATCGATCTTGATCTGAAGCTCGTGTTGGTCCTTCATGACCTTCTTTATCTGTAGATCGAGCGGTTCCATTGAGGCGATCGCGTACTTCATCATAGCGAGGGCGTTCAGCGAAGATGTGGCCAACAGGAGGGTGGCGACCATGTTCGTGTTCTTATTGGTGTCTTCCTTGAAGCCTTCCGCCTGGCACCTGGCTGTTGGCTCTCCTGGCGGCTCGCCGACTTGAAGGCCTCGCCTTTGGCGCTGCTAATCCATTGGCCGCGACGGGTCGCGAGAGTCGCCTGCTCGCTCTGCGCGGCAAGGCCTACCAGGAGGCCAGAAACGCACTCGGCTGGACTTGCTCGGGGAGCGCGCAGAGGCCACTTGCTGTATTCGCGGGCTGCGGAGGACCAGCGCCCACGCCACGCAGGGCCGAGCGCCGAAAGGGCCGCACTTGCAAGCGTATCCAGCTCTCGCCCAGGCGGGCCACATCGTGCGTATGGAGCCCCCTGGTACCCAGTCCTCCGACGCGTAGATTCTTGAGCCAGCGGGCCCCGAAGGCCTCGCACCCCTTGCCCGGGGGGGCAACTCTTCGCCCCAACTCCATTCCTGATGGTCCCGAGTCTTGAGAGCGGCTCCCAGAGGGAGGGAGGGAGGGGGATGATGAGGAGAGTGGGGCAAGAGGAGGGAGGGAGGGAGGAAGGGGCAAAGGAAGCTGACAGGGGCAGGAGGGAGGAATGAAGAGGGAGTGAGGAAGGGGAGGGAGATACAAAGGAGGGGGGAGGAAGAGGGAGGGAAGGGGAATAAGGAGGTAGGAGTGAGGAGGAGGACGGGCTTGGGAGCCTGGTGTTTTTGGTTGTAACCGCATATGTAGAGCCCTCTGGCCCTCGTCTGTGCTTGAACGGGTCTCGAGCGACAAGCGGGGCTACACGTTCTGCCGCCCATTTCCTCCTCCCTCCCAGGGCTCTTCGAGCCGAAAGGCCCACGGTCCGATATCGAGCGAACACCATCGATGGGGGCCGGAGGCGGAGAGAAGAGACTGGGAGATGCCCTTTGCGAGAGCGCCCTCCGCGGCCGTTCCAGGCAGAACCGCGCCGCCCCCCTCCCTCCGAAGTCGAACTTCAAGTAGCGACCGCCTCCGGCCAGAATGCAGGAGTGGTGCTTCAGCCTCCCCGCCGCATTCGCCCTGCTCTTCGCGCCTGATCCTTACTGGTTCTCATCCTCCGCCCCCTCCGCGTCCTCCTGTCTCTTCAGTCCTCCACCTCTCCACCAAACATCTCCTGCCCGCCGCCGTCGCGGGGCGAAAAGCACGAGTCAGAGTCCTCACGGTCCAGAGCATGCGCTTCGTCCGACAACCTCTCTGTGCGGAACGAGACGCTCCATGCTGTGCAAACATTAGCCTTGTCGGAACTCTCCCTCGCCCCCCTTCTCAACGGTGTTCCATGCATGCTGATGATTGTCTGGACAGACTCCCGAAGATCGGCCTCGACAGGGCATGGGTAAGTAAGGAGTGCCTGTCATCCTATTAGCGCTTAAGGCGACGCGGGGCAGCATGTCAAGCCACCGCAACCCCAACCCAGACTCATTCCAGACTTGAACAACAACCTGACGAGGTCTGCTCAACACACCATTCCAAACAAACAACTTCTGCAACTCTTCAGGGGGTCCGCTTACACCTCGTGTCTCCTGTTCGATCGTCCCGCATACCTCGCCAATTTATCCTCGGAAGACAATGCACCGAACCGCATAACCTTTTCAATTTGTTTTTGCTCATCACACATTACTACTGATAACAGCTCTGAAAATGTCCGAAGGCTCCAACGGCACCCCCAAGAAACCACTGTGGAGCTTCGCAGGAATCCTTCTTACCTCTACCACGCTCGATGCCGATCCATGGACTGCACACGGACCCCAAACACCCCCCAGGCGCCCCAAACATCCCCAAACCGCGCCCTGATGGGCCAATGTTTGGTTGCAAAGACTATCAAACAAATGAGTGGGCACCCATGCCATGAAAATTGTGTCCGTTCGGACCCATCGCAACATTACTTTCATGTCATGAAAAATGGTTTTAACAAGAAGCCAATGCCGTAAACATCACCTATGGCTTTGTAAGACATGTATATGGACAATGCGTGCCCATGGTGTCGGATCCGTTATCCGCCATCATGCCGTATGGTACCGTGCGGCCAGCTCTCAAATTTTACCCGTGTGCAGTCTCGCGCCAAATTCCTATTGCTCGTGTCTGCTGCCAATGTGCTTTGCTTTAAACTCGAAAACCCGTTTCCGCCCGGTGGGGTGCCACATCCCCAACTCTCGGATATGTTGTCAATGCGGTGCCGAGTGGCGCCGTATTTCCAACTGAGATCCACTGCCCGCGCGGCGCTGTATCCAGAACTGTCGGATCCGCTCACCGTGTGGTGCAGTAACCCCGACATCTTAGATATGTCACATTTTGCCCACGTGATGCCGTGTGCTGCCATGCGGTGCCGAATCTCCAACTCTCGGATCCGTCGCCCGTGCTGTGTGCTGGCGTGTGGTAACATGTGGTGGCACGTGCAACCATTGACATAATGCCCTCCAGTGACCACGTGGTGTCAGGTGGCATCGAAGATCCCATCGGAACCAATTTTCTTTTCCAATGCATTGCCTTTTCGACCCATCGCACAATGAAGGGTGCAATGCTGTCTAGGGTGAGGTAGACGATGTGCGTGAAGACTAGGGTAGTGACTAGGGTGACGGCGAGGATGAGGGTGAGCGCGATGGTGTTGATGGTGAGGTGGATGTGAAAGGTGTGTTGTGAGGTGCGCAGTGGTGTTCAGGAAGAGCCTGCTTAGCACAAGGGGGATTACTATTCAGAACTAGGTTGTACGCCAATACGCTCGCGGAATGATCGCACGCCCTGGCGCGCGATGAACAAGACCTTTGCCGTCGCAATCACCCCCCCCGTCGGTTAGGACTTACGCACGCCCAGGGAATAGCAATGATCACATCGGACCTGCGTGGGCCTTGGGGTTTTATTAGGCCGGAATGTTGCGGGAAAGGTCCTGCGGGATTTCACTTCCCTTTCAGAGCAAGAGGGATCCGAGGAGGAAGAAGAAGAAGAAGAATAGGGCTGGGCAGGAGGAGGAGGGAACAAGAAGCTCAAGTCACAACAACTTCTTCCCCTGCGAACGAGTTCGGGTGGCTGTCGCGGATGTCGTACAGTGTCCTCATGAGCAGGTAGTACTCCTCATCTGTAAGTGGCTGACTGGGCTTTCTGCCGAAGAGCTCCCACAGCATCCGTGTGACGGCTGGTCTGGGCTCCACCCCTCGCTCGCTCAGCAGCGCTTGCGCCTCCTCTTCGCCCACCTTTCCGTCGCGATCCAAGTCCATGGCTTGGAAGCTCTGCAGGTATCGCTGCCTCCAGCGCGGGACGGCGAGCCACTCGTCGCGCTTCGACTGGAGGGTCTGGGGGAGCAGCTCCCGCAGCGGGACCTCTTCGTGCCTGCCCACGAGCTCGGCAACGACTTGAAGGGACTCCTCGATCTCTGGGATGCGACAGTGCTGCTCGAGCGCGTGGAGCGGCACGGACCCCGTGCCTAGGCTGTCCCAAGGCTGCACGGCGCCCTCGTGCAGAGGGGGGACTCTGGCGACCAGGTCCGCGAAGCAGATGCCCTTCGTCGGGCCGGGGTTGAAGAGCACCCGAACCTGCGGGCTGCTCCAGGGCCCACCGCCCGCGGCTGGCCCCGGCTCCTGGTGCAGCTCAAAGACGAAGTGAGAGGCAAAGCCGGCGTCGGGCAGCTCGCAGCCCAGCAAGTTCGCGAGGGCGAACAGCGTCGTGTCGTGGCACGAGAACTCCACGAGCCGCAACGACGACTTGCCACTCGCCCGCTCGCTCAAATGGCGCCACACACTGTGCGCCAGGTAGCCGGCTGCTCGTCTGCCGTAGGACTCGGCCACCCTGCCGCGCACGGACTCCTGGAACCAGCACCGCTTCTTCTCGATCGCCAGCCGCGCCAGCATGGCCAGCTCCCCGGCCGACAGGGCGACGCCCTCCTGGTTCGGGAGGAGCGGCAGAGCGTGGGCCTCCTCGATCTGGACCACGGTGTCCACGTCCTTCGAGGCGATCAGCCGCTCGATCATAGGGTGGCCTGGGCTCAGGGCCTCCAGGCCTGTCGCAGCATAGAGCCTCTCAGCGAGACGCTGGTGCGCAGGGCACTCCGCCGCTTCGAGATAACGCGGAGAGCGCCTCTCGTTCGCCTTGCGCCACGAAGGATAATCTTCGTGCAGCGTCCACTCGTGAAAGAGCTTGTCTTCTCCCGACGGGGCCTCTTCGATGAAGATGGGTATCCCTAGCTGCTGACGACGGAGATCTGCTGTGACACGGTCGGAACGGGACGCGCAAAATATCGGCGCCGTCGGCCCCAACGCCCCCAGCAGGAAGGACCACGCGCTCTGCAAGGTCCTCTGCAGGTTGGAGCTGTGGCTGCAGACGGCGCGGCCGTCGACCGCGCCCAGGCCAGCGAAGAGGCCTCCGCCCGAAGCGGCGATGTAGTGCTCGCGGAAGGCAGAGCCCAGGTCCAGCATCTGCTTGCTGCCCACCGGCGTCAGGTGCCCCTTGTAGGCCCGCCAGAACTGCGCCCCCTGCGGCCACGAGAGGTCCTCGCGCCCCGTGGGCCTCGACGGGAACCGCGCCCCGTGCCGGTGCACAATGACCACCTGCCGCAGCACGGAGCACCCCGGCCCGCCGCAAGGAGGCCCCGGCTCCACCCCGCCCGCTGCCGCGGCGCATCGCGCGGCGCCGCAGCGCGCCGCTGGCCGCGGCGCCGCGGCGCCGCCCAGCGCCCTGGCCTGCGCCCTGCCTCGCCGCGCCGCGCCGCCCGCCGCGGCCGCTGCCCCAGCGGCGGCGGCCGCGGTGCTCCGCAGGGCCGTCCGCCAGTGAGCGGCACCGCCGTCGCGGGCGGTGGGCGGTGGTGCGGCGTGGCGCTGCGGCGCCGCGGGGGGCCGCGCGCGGCGGGCGGGGCAGCAACGGAAGGTGCGGGGGCGCCAACGATACACCTGGTCACCGATGCAGGCCAGGCCCGTCCCAGGCCACAAGTCGTTGGGTACGCCCCCCCCCCTCTCCCGATCCTGGGTCCCCGATGTGCGGCCAGGAGGGGGGTATCCACCGATCCTGGGCCCAGGAGTGGCCCGGCCAGAATCGGTGCTGGTGGATACTTGGCGGCCCCGCCGAGGGGCGGGGGCTGCGGCGGAACGCAGAGCGAGCCGACGCGCGTCATTGGCCCAGCTGGGCGGCGATTGAAGGCCCGCGGAGACCAGCGGCGGCGGGCAAGATCGCCGAATTGGGCCGAAATTGCTACGGACAGTGGGGTGGAGGGGGACGAGGGGGAGGAGGAACAAATCAAGAAGGAGGGGGAGGAACTGAATATAAAGAAGAAGAATAATAATAGGTAGAACAAGAAAAACAACAATACTACTACTACTACTACTACTACTACTACTACTACTACTACTACTACTACTACTACTACTACTACTACTACTACTACTACTACTACTACTACTACTTCTACTACTACTACTACTACTACTACTACTACTACTACTACTAGTACTACTACTACTACTACTACTACTGCTACTACTACTACTACTACTACTGCTACTACTACTACTACTACTACTACTACTACTACTACTACTACTACTACTACTACTACTGCTACTACTGCTACTACTACTACTACTACTACTACTAATAATAATAATAATAATACTCATAATAATAAAAATAATAATGATACTGCTAATGATAATAAGAACAATAATAACCATACAAATAATAATACGATTAATAATAGTAATAATAAAATTAATAATAATAATATTATTTTTAATAATAATAATAACAACAATAATAAAAATACAAATAAAAATAATAACAATAATAATACTGATAATAGTAATAATACTACTGAGAAGAAGAAGAAGCGGGGAAGATGGACAGATAATTCGCCGACCCCCGCTTGCCAGGTGTGCAAATGCGTGTGAGATGATTGGCTGTCCCCCTCACCTTTCCCCCCTCCCCTGGGGTCTGACATCCGATTCGAGTGGGGGGGCCAGGGGGGGGAGCTCCCCAGGCTCCCCAACACTCACCACAGTGCCTCTGGAGCCTCCATTTCTACAGTCCGTGGCCTCCAAGCTGGCCACGATTCTATCTAAGCTTGCTCAAGCTGGGCTCAATCACGCCAAGAAGGCTTCAAAAACAACAAGTGTAGCCTCAAGACGGCTCGAGAGGCCTCCAAGACGCCAACATCGCCCCAAATTCGAAAGAAAACGAATACTAACCCTTTTGGTTTCAACAGCGTCCAAAGCGGCCCAAGAGGCCCCCAAGATCGCTCCATGACGGCTCGAGAGGTCCCTAAGAGGGCCTGAGCACGGCCCAAGAGAGCCCCGGAACGGCCGAAGAGGCGTCCAAGACAGCCCAAGAGGGCCCCCAAGGAGTCTCAAGAGGGTGAACTCGAACTGACATTTCGAGCCCTCCGCCCCAGGCGGACCCCCGAGACGGCTAGCATGCGCTCAACAGACCCCCAAGAGACTCCAACAGACACCCAAGAGGCACAAAAGATGCCCAATATGCCCTCCAATAGGTTCCCAAGCGGCAAAATCGGCAAAAGCCCTCCCCCGTGGACTTCGTTTCTCCTCTGGGGGTCGGCGGAATGGTACGAGCCACTTGAATAAGAAAGGAGGGTAGCAGGAGAGGATGAAGGGGCCAGGCAAGATGGGAAAGAGGACGGCCACGCGTCTCAGCGCCTGCGCGTACCAACGCATGGCCTTTCCAAGTGCAAACTTCAAGCATCAAACCAATGTAATTAATCTTTACAGAGCAGAGCGGGCTGGGCCCCCGAAGAGCTGATCGCAAGTTCTCGGGGCGGACATACATTCCCTGTGAAAGCGGCGCCCCCACTCGCGGTGCAAGGGTGTCATCGTCGGAGGTGGGCATTGCCCAGTGTCCCCACCTCCAACAGTGGCGAAGTGGGGGCCCGCTCCTGGAATTCATCCAGATCGCAGACGATGGCCTTCAATCCCGCCTCGGCTTTGGTCCAACGCTCGGCGCCTCGGAGCAGCACCGCCAGCGCCATCCCACCTCAGATGTGCTCTTCTTTCAGCAATCCGAGGCCCCCCTTCCGACCCCTCTCCGAGGAGGGCCGCCGACCAGCCGCAACTCTTGGGGGACCCATCGTGTCGACGATCCCTCGGGACTCGAGAGGGGAGTGTCGAGACCGATCTTCTCCTCCTCCTCCTCCTCCTCCTCCTCCTCCTTCAACAGCTGCGCGCGGCGCTTCCAAAGGGCCGGGGGGGGCACAGGTGCTGCCGCTGGCTGCCTCCCTCCCTCTCTCCGCGAACTCCTGCGAAGCACCCCCCCAGGCGAAGCGAACTGGGCAAAGCGAAGCGGGCAAAAAGCGAAACCCCGGGCGAGGCGGACACGCGCCTCCCCGTAGGTTCGTGCGGCGTCGGCGCGCGCAAAAGTTTTTTACACCGCCTCGATCGTTCAACCTTGAACCGATCGCGGCCCCGTCGGGTCCAGTGGCGTCACCGTGCCCCTCGGTGCTTTCGCGTCGCAGAATTCAACCTTGAACGCCGTCGCTGGCGTCGCCGGCGTGCAATCGCCGCATCATGCGGCGGGGAGCACGGTGGGTTCATGCCATGAGCCCACCGTACTCCCCCCGCCGCGTGGGTGGCCTCGACCAGTCTGTAGGCGGCGGCGCCCCCGGCCGCGGGCGTGCGCGCGCGCGGGGCGCGTGCCGCCCGAGGGGCGCCGCCTGCGCGCAGGCCCTGGCGCGTCCGAGTTGCGTATTGCGTATGCTGCTGGGCCCTGGCGGGATCCGTGCATTCCGCGGGCCCCAACGGAGCGCGATCACCAGATCGTGATCCACTGGGCCGGCACTCCTGGGGCCGCGCGCAGCTCTCTTGCGATCTGGCGGCCACGGAGCACGGCCACCGCTGCAAACCTCGTGGTAGCATTCCTCGAGGAAGTCGAGAGCGTGGCTTCTTCCCCGCGACGGTGGGGGGAGGGGGCCCTGGCGCGTCCACCAGGCCCACCACCCCGTCCACCCGAGGATCCAAAGTGCTGCGCGCTTCGCCCCCGATGCCCCCTGCACTCCGCCAAGCCGGGGACGACGACGTGGTCCACCGTGGCGGCGGAGCAGTGCAGCATGCTGACGAGGGACAATTTTACGCCCCTCCTTTCCGTTCCTCATCCTCCTGCTAGTCCCTCCTTCCTTCCCGCCCTTCCTCCTCCGTGCCCTGCGTCACCACAGCCGGGTCGCGGACAAGCCCCGCCCATCCTGACGACGCCTCCCAAGCTCCAAATGTTGACGACGTAGGTCAATGATGTAAAGTACTCGGCCTCCTTTGGGCGGGGAAGACAGAAACGCTTGAGGTAGAGGGTTATCGAGAAGAAGGATGTTCCTCATCATTCCTCCTTCTCCCTCCTATTCCCTCCTCCTTCTCCTCATCTCTTCCTCATCCTCCCCCTCCCCCCTTCCCCGCGCGCGAGGAGAAGGAGGACGACGACGATGATCAGAGCAAACACAATATGTATCAACGATGCACCGTCTGGTCCAAAGTCCTCTCCACAGAAGTCAGTACAAGCCTTGCTTTCACTGCGCGAGGCGCCGCCTTGAAAGACGAGCGCCCCGTGTGCCCGCAATTTCGGTGGCAAATCATGGGAGCCTATTTTAGCACTTGTGGTCTTCGTTTTGTGTCATCTACTGCGGCTTAGTGCGACTTAGTGCTGGTCAGCCCGACGCGCGGTCCACGCACTGGAGGTTCATGTTGCGGCAACGCGCGAGTTTCGAGGCGGGCCCACCGCTGACCCACTTCGTTGCTGGCCCACGTACGGTACCCAAAAGATCCTCTCAGGGGGCGCGTTTGATGATTACCTGATATCCTCCCACCATCAGCGGCCATTATCGTTTTTCTTACCTATCCGATGAGCCCCAAACAAATCCTCCTCACTCCTCCTCCTCCTCCTCCTCCTCCTCCTCCTCCTCCTCCTCCTCCTCCTTCTCCTCCTCCTCCTCCCACTCTTTCCCTCCTCCTCCTCCTCCTCCCTCCTCCTCCTCCTCCTCCTCTCCCCCTCCTCCTCCTCCTCCTCCTCCTCCTCCTCCCTCCTCCTCCTCCTCCTCCCCTCCTCCGCCCCTTTCCTCCTCCTCCTCCTCCTCTTCCCTCCTCTTCTCCTCTTTTTCCTCTTCCTCCTCCTCTCTCCTCCTCCTCCTCCTCTTCCTCCTCCTCCTCCTCCTCCTCCACCTCCTCGTCCTCCTCCTAGTCCTCCGCACAATAGATGATCCTGAAACGTACGAATTCGCAAGGGCTGGACGAATGGAGGGCGGGTCGCTACCACGCACATTCGTTTCAAACGTTTGCAAATGTTTCACGGATTGAGGGCGGGTGGCGTTCAAAATGATGCTCTCTCGCGCTTGCGCCGCTCACGGTGTTTTGAACGTTTGGAAAAGTTTCACGAATCAATCGCGGGCCGCTTGCAAAATGCACTTATAGTTTAACGCCGCGCACAGTCGTCTGCAACAACTGCAAGAGCTTTGCGGGTAAAGGGCGGGTGGCTTTCAACATGTAGCCGTCGCCCCAGCGCCGCGCGCAGTCGTCTTAAACATCAACAGTAACTTCACGGATGGAGGGCGGTTCCATTTCAAGATGCGGTCCTCGCCATACAGCCTTGCATGTGTTTTTTTACCTAACAGCGAAAACTGATAGGTTTCTGGTGGTGTCAAAAGAGAACATCTTGACTCCCCAAGGGGGTCTGGGCGGGTGCCGGGGAGAATCCGCGGAAGTCGTTTTAAGCAAACAGTTACACACTTCGTGGTCTTCGAGGTCCCAGAACTCCTTTCCCGGGCCACATTCGGAATGCCCGGAGCCAACTGTAGGCCACTTCGTGCTCTTCGAGTTCCCAGAACTCCATTCCCGGGCCACATTTTGAACGCCCAGAGCCAACTGTAGGCCACTTCGTGCTCTTCGAGTTCCCAAAATTCAGCTCCCGGGCCACATTTTGAACGCCCGGAGCCAACTGTAAGCCACTTCGTGGTCTTCGAGTTCCCAGAACTCCATTCCTGGGCATGATTTTGAATGCCCGGAGCCAACTGTAGGCCACTTCGTGGTCTTCGAGTTCCCAGAACTCCATTTCTGGGCATGATTTTGAATGCCTGGAGCTAACTGTAGGCCACTTCGTGGTCTTCGAGTTCCCAGAATTCCACTCCTGGGCATGATTTGAATGCCCGGAGCCAACTGCAGGCCACTTCGTGCTCTTCGAGTTCCCAGAATTCCATTCCCGGGTCACATTTTGAAGGCTGAGGCAGGCTGAGGCTGAGGCTGAGGCAGGCTGAGGCTGAGGCCGAGGCTGAAGGCAGACTGAGGCTGAGGCTGAAGCAGGCTGAGGCTGAGGCTGAGGCAGGCTGAGGCTGAGGCTGAGGCAGGCTGATGCTGAGGCAGGCTGAGGCTGAGGCTGAGGCTGAGGCTGATGCAGGCTGAGGCTGAGGCAGGCTGAGGCTGAGGCTGAGGCTGAAGGCAGACTGAGGCTGAGGCTGAAGCAGGCTGAGGCTGAGGCTGAGGCAGGCTGAGGCTGAGGCAGGCTGAAGGCTGAGGCAGGCTGAGGCTGAGGCTGAGGCTGAGGCTGAGGCAGGCTGAGGCTGAGAGCTGAGGCTGAGGCTGAGGCTGAGGCTGAGGCTGAGGCAGGCTGAGGCTGAGGCTGAGGCAGGCTGAGGCTGAGGCTGAGGCTGAGGCTGAGGCTGAGGCTGAGGCTGAGCTGAGGCTGAGGCTGAGGCTGAGGCTGAGGCTGAGGCAGGCTGAGGCTGAGGCTGAGGCTGAGGCTGAGGCAGGCTGAGGCTGAGGCTGAGGCTGAGGCTGAGGCTGAGCAGGCTGAGGCTGAGGCTGAGGCAGGCTGAGGCTGAGGCTGAGGCAGGCTGAGGCTGAGGCAGGCTGAGGCTGAGGCTGAGGCTGAGGCAGGCTGAGGCTGAGGCAGGCTGAGGCTGAGGCCGAGGCTGAGGCAGACTGAGGCTGAGGCTGAAGCAGGCTGAGGCTGAGGCAGGCTGAGGCTGAGGCTGAGGCAGGCTGAGGCTGAGGCTGTGACTGCGACTGCCGTTGCCACTGCGACTGTCATCGCGAATGCGACTGCGACTGCGAGAACAGCAGAATTCTACAACTGGATTCTCATCTGAATCTTAAGGGGAATGCTTCCAGATATGCTCCTACACATCGCTGTTAGGTTGCTTTGCCAGGATAATCTAAAAGTCAGCAGAACTTTCACGGATTCCCATTGTCAGCGCACCAGAAACATAATGTTTTGCAGCGATGTAGGACTGCCAGGGCGCAGCAATTACGCTGACTCGCGGTGTTGAACTCCTAGGAATGGTGTTTTGGCACGGACCAGGGCCGTCAAGACGCCACATGAAAGTTCATTGGTTTTCTCGCCCGGTTCAGGACTTTCAAACGGCTGTCTCCCTACTGGTTATGTCCCCTATTGAAAATGAGCCCTCGCCAGCCTCCACCTCCACCTCCTCCTCCTCTTCCTCCTCCTCCTCCTCCTCCTCCTCCTCCTCCTCCTCTTCCTCCTCCCCCTCCCCCACCCCTTCCCATCAGCCCGCCGCCCCCGTCGCCGCGTTCCCCCCGCCCCCCCCCCGCCTCGAGCCCCCATCCAATCATGATATCACCAACGTTCGCTCTAATATATGACGCACCCCTCCTTTCCCCCCCGCGCAGGCCCGCGAGCGCGCGCGCGTCCCCGCCCGTCCACCCACCCGCCGGCCCGCGTATTTCCCCAACCGCCGCCACCACCACCACCACCTTCACCCACCGCCAGCGCATCCACCCCACTTGCCCAACTTACCCCACCCACCTCGCCCCACCCCACCCTATCCACCCACCCACCCGCCCCGCCATCGCCGCCACCGTCGGCGGCGCCGCCGCCAGGGCCTGCTCCGCCCCCGCCACACCACCACCACCGTCCCAAAGGCGGCGGCCACGATGCGCCTCTGGCCCCGAATCATGTCCCTCGAAAGTGCTGCGCAAATCACTCCCCAGCTGGCTCCTCCCGCTGAAGCGCCGCGCGGCTGACGCGGCGGGGCCCCGGATCCAATGCGCGGGAACTATGGAAATTCACCATCTGGCCGCAGACGTCCGCGAAGATAGCAGTTCCCCCGCCCTGACTCCGAAGCACCCCGCAACGCCATTTAGTGCCATCTAGTGCGATTGAGTGCCAGATTTAATGCCACATAGTGCGATTTACTGCGACTCGCGCGGGCGGGCGCGCGGGGGCGGGCGGGCGGGCGGGCGCGGGGCGAGCGGGCGGCGGCGGCGGGGGGGTCGTCGCAGAATGTTGTTCGCTGGCCATCCTCGAGCCGCCGCCTCGCGCTCAGGGGCGCGGGCGGACGGGCCACGCGGGCCCGCCCCTTCCTGGGGTTGGCGCCGAGGACGAGGAGGTCTTCGCGGGCCTCGCGCTAGGAGGCCGCCGCAGCACCGCTGGCGCACGCTCGCCCCCCGGAGGCTCCCGCGGAGAGCGCCGCCAAGGAGCCCCGGGGGGCGCCTGGCAGGGCCTTTCGGCGCGGAGGCGCCAGCGGCGGCCCGCCTACATTAGGCGCGCAAGTTTTTCGCGTTGCGCGGTGGTTCGAGGGGCAAGCGCATCAGTTCTCTATTTGGGCTGGCGGCTGGCCCCGCGAACGCCCAATAGGCTTCGCGCCCGCGGCCCGGGCGCCATGGCGGGATGGGTCGAAGGCCACTGGATGCGTAGCGGGAGCGCCGAACTGGTCCACGGCCGCCTTCAAGCTCGAACGCCGGGCGAACGTCGAGCGTCGTCAGCCCTCCCTGTGGCCTCGTGCCAGGACGAGGGTCGGCGGATGTGGCGTCAGCCTTTTGTATCTGACGTATGGTATTACATGACGCTAGATGGGGCCCAAATCTGGCACTAAATGACACTGGACTGAATGAGATCTGACTAAAATAGCACGAAACTGCGGACCCGGGCAACCGGGGGGTGCGACGGCGGGTCCGCCGCGCGCTCCCCCTCCTCAAAACCCCGCCCGCCCCGCAATTTCCGCCGGAACTCCGCGAGGGCAGAATGGCTGGAGTGGGAAGGCCGGCCCCGCAACAGGGCGGCGCTTCCCCCTCCGGGGCGCTGGCGAAGCGGGCGGAGGGGCAGACAATGAGCGCACGTGGGCAACTGCGGACGTGAGTGCGTGGGCGCGCGCGCGTCTGGGCGTCTGGTCGCGCGATCGCGCGGGCACGCGCGGGCGCGGGCGTGCGCGTGCGCTGTTTTGCGTGCGCTGTGTGCGCGTGCGTATGTGCGCGCCCGTCTCAGTGAGCGCGCGCGCGGCGGTGGCGCGGGGCGCAGGCGCGCGCGCGCGTCGGCGAGGGCGAGCGCGGTGGGATGCGAGCGCGAGCGAGTGCGCGCGAGTGCCCAGGCGCGCGCGGGCGGGGCGGGCGTTTGCTTTGGACGCGGTCTAGAGTCAAGCGCCAAACGCGCGACTACGTCGCGCGGCGACGCGGGGGGCCGACGAAGGACCGAAACCAAGGCGCCACGAAGGCCGTGCAAACGCGATCGGCGGGGGGGCCCGCCGGGGAAAGCAGGGCCCGAAAATCGCGCAGGGGCGCCGGGCACGAAAAACAGCAAGCTCGAAGTCAAGGCGGCGCAACTGCCAGGGCCCTTTTTCCCAGTAACTCCGATGCCGTGCAAGTGGCCGACGCAAGCTCGGCGAGAACCTGACTGGGGGCCCGGAGCGAAAACCTCCAGGACGACAGATATGGAGAGGCGCAGAAAGAATTCCGCGCCATCACGGGGCCCAGGACCATCGCGAAAACGGCCCCGCGCGCGTCAGCGGCGCCCCTCGGTTCCGAAGCTGCCAGAAAACGAGCCGCCTTCTCCTCGCGCGCACCCCCGCACAGCCGGGCGCGGAACTCATCCGCCACCGAGACTCTTACGGCGCGAGGATCGGCGGGCATGGGCGGCAGATTTGGAGGTGCCTGGTGCTTCGCGCAGTCGCTGCTGCCAAGCGCATCGGCAACCTCGCCATGCTCCTCCACGGGCAGGCCCGTCAACTGCGCAGCCCTCGAGGCGCCCCCCCGCGCTGGGCCAGCGACCGTCTAGCTGGTCGTTCGCGGTCCAGCGCGCCGCCATAGGGGCCCTGAACATCTTGCGCCTGACAGCGAGTGCGCGCGCGGGGTTCTCGCCGACCCGCAGTCTCGCCCGCCGCCGCAACCGCCGCGAGAGCGCGCGAGCAGAGACCGCTTGCGCGCATGTTTTGCAGCGTCCTCGCGCGGGAACGCGCGCGTTGGACGGGGCGTTCAAGCCGCTTGGCCAGCCAGGTTTTGGGCGCCGCGAGCGACGGGCGGCGGGCGGCGGCGGCGGCGCGCGCGGGCCGCCTAGCGGGCGCCGCCTAGCGCGGCGCGGGCGCAGACCCCGGGCATGCGCAAGCCCGCCCGCGCGGGACTGGCCAGGTAGTAAGTGATCACTAACTGCCCACGAAACCCGCTGCAAGCACTTTCGCGCCGATGCAAGGCACCTTGACTGAGGGCAGACGTCGCTTCTGAGGCTCGGTCAACGGCCCACCTTCTGATTTGAACCCTGTAAGCTTCGAGAAGCCACCCAAGAATATGCGCCCCTCGAACCGCCCTGGGCGAGCTTGGCATCCGCGCGTGGCGCGTAGCTCGCGGGCGTCTGAAATATCGCACCGGAATCCATAAAACGCGCCCCACATCAGAAAATAAGGGGGCGGCGAAACAACAAACTATGCAAATCAGTTTTCCCCACCATAAAATATTGGCAGCGGATCGTCTTGTAACCAGTGCGGAATTATTATGGCGGGCTGCGTTTTGAAATCAGTTGAATAAAATTACAGCGAAGTTGCACAAACAAATAAAAATCGGAACTCGAGCAATCATAACGATTAATGAACGCATAATATTTTTGAGAAAGCGTGATCCACCGCCGCTTTACCATGGAAAATTCCCCCTTCATCCTCTGGAACCCAGCCCCCCTTCCCTTCAAAACCCCCCCCCCCCCCCCCTGCTGTCCCCCCCCCACCCCCTTCCCCCACCTGGAAAACCCACTGCCGGTGCGACCCCCCCCCCCCTCCAGAAAACCGGGGGGGGTCACTGCTGGTACGACTCCCCCCTCACCGCCGGCAGACGACTCCCGGGTCCCCACCACCGCCGTCCGCACCACGTCCCCCGCCGCTGTCCCAGCGTCTACGCCACCACTGTCTCCACTTTTCCCACCACCGTCCCCACTGTCCCCACAGTGCTCCCACCACTGTCGCACCGTCCCCGCTGTCCCCACCACTGTCCCCACCGCGGTCCCACTCTCCCCATTTCCCCCACGGTCCCCACCACTGTCCCACTGCCCCCACTGTCCCCGCCGCTGTCCCACTGAGCTGTCCCACTGTTCCCACCAGTGTCCCCACCGCTGTCCCCACTGTACGTCTGTCCCATTGTCCCGCCACCGTCCTCGCCACCGCTCTCGCCACTGTCCCCGCCACCACTGTCCCCGCCACTGTCCCACTGTCCCCACCACATTCACACTGTCCCCACACCACTGTCCCCACCATTGTCCCAGTGTCTCCACCGCTGTCCCACTGTTCCCACCATTGTCCCCGCTGTCCCGACCAGTGCCCCCACCAATGTCTCACTGTCCCCACTCTCCCCACCATTGTCCCACCACGGTCCCGCTTTCCCCGCTTTCCCCCACGGTCCCCACCACTGTCCCACTGTCCCCACTGTCTCCGCCGCTGTCCCACTGTGCTGTCCCACTGTCCTCATTGCCCCCGCCACTGTCCCACTGTCCCCACTGTCCCCACCACACCACTGTCCCCACTGTACTACTGTCCCGCCACCGTCCTCACCATCGCCTTCACCACTGTCCCCACCACGTTACCGTCCCCACCACTGTCCCACTGTCCCCACCATTGTCCCGCTGTCCCCTCGCCACTGTCCCCACCACCACCGTCCCCACCACTGTCTGCATCAGTGTCCCACTGTCTCCACACCACTGTCCCCGCCACCACCGTCCCCGCCACTGTCCCAGTAATTATCCCCACCACTCTCTAACTGTCCCGAGGAGCAGGAATCGTCTGCCGGCGGCGAAGGGGGAGGGGAGGGTGGGGGTTCGAACCAGCAGTGACCCCCGGCCCCCGGGTTTTCCAGGCTAGGGGGGGGCTCGAACTGGTAGTGACCCCCCCCTCTCCTTTTCATGAACGGAAAGGGGGGGGGCGAACTGGTAGTGACCCCCCCCTCCGGTTTCCGAAACGGGGGGGGGGGGCGGGTTGGGAACCGCAGGTGAGACCCCTCCCTGTTTCCCCCCAGCAGTGGTAAAACACGGTCTTTCATATATTTGAAGAAAAAACGGACGGGACGTCAAAACAAAAAACAATAAATGAAGATTTGTCCGCGTAAACCGAGAATGCAAGCCATATTATTTTCTCAAAGCAGAAGATTTGGAATTTCCGCGAAGAGAACGCGGCACCGCGACTCTCCCGCGAGCGCGCGCGGGCGTTCCCGGACGCCGGGTTTAGCACACTCACATGGAACAAAAAAACAAGCGCGGGGAACAGACAGCAAAATGGCGGCGGGCTCGCTGGCCAAAATCAATTCAAAATGACGGCGGCGGGGGAGGGGGGCCCCCAGTCTGTACTGCACTGAGCACCGAAGAAACGGTAGTAATTCTGAAATGGTGCGTCGGGGCGCGTCAAGCGAGCTTGCTTTTGCCATCCTAAGTGACGCAAGCGCTGGGCACGCGAGCTTGGAAGCGCTGACTAGGCGCCTGAGCAAGTTTGCCAAGGACTGCGTAGAACGTTCCTACTCGATGCGCGCGCAAGCATCGAAGCGCTGCCTGGGCGCCCCCCAACGCTTCGCGCACGCGCGCTGGGAACGCCTACGAGATGCACTGCGAAGTCAAACGCATTCCTGCGGCACCGCCTGACCAGCCAGCGTTGGCAGCGGCATCACTCGCTGCCGCCCTGCTTCTTCTCTGAAGCTCTTCTGCTGTGACCAGCGATGATGCGCCCCGGGCGCCGCGCCCAGACGCTGCGACGGGGCGGGCCCGATAACCAGGGCATAACAAGAGAAATCGTGCTGGAGGTATCCAGCCGCCCCCATGTGGGGGAGTTCGAGAGCGCGCAAGTTTGGGCCGCGGATTTTCTGACCCAGCACAACGACCTGTCACGCGGGAGGGAACGTCGCTAGAAATCGCGCGCAGGCAGCATGGGCCTGGAGGGGAGAGAAAGACAGGGGGGTCATGGGGGAAGCGGAGGAAGAGCTGGGAGTGGAAAGGTGAGGGTAGGAGAAGGAAGACACGCGCCGCACTAAGCCGCACTAAACAATACTTAAAGACACTGAATTGGAGCTGAGATTCGCCAAAGTGCTAAAAAAACTCCCATGATTTGCCACCTAACGCAGTTCAAGCGGGAGCTCAGCTTTGAAACGGAAATGCCCTCCATCCTTCGAGCCATAAGGAAGAAACTGCGACAAGGGCCGTCACGCTCAAGGAAGTGACCAGCGACAATCCTTCGCCAAGGGGGGGCGGGGCGAGATCTGAGACACACGGGGCGCCGCAGGCTCCCCGCGACTCCGACTTCCAGCCGTGACCGCCTCTGGCTGCTCCCTTTCTGAGCGACAGCTGGGGACAAGCGATGCAAACATCATGGAATAATATGGACTTCGACGAAATCTGACGGCGCGCAACAAGGGGGGGGGCGGGAAGGACTGGCCCTGCAAGCAGGCGGGGTGCTTTCAGGGAGCGGTGGTCTTCTTAGAAGGACCTGGAAGCTTCCAATACGTAAGGCTTCCAAGACACCGGGATAGCTTCCAAGACGCCCCGTGCCCTCCGAGAATCCGCCCCCCGCCTCATCTTCTGAGGAGGCGGCTCCCCTCACGCCACCCCCGTGCGCGCGACGCCCGAAAGCTGGAAGCCCCACGTGCGAAAGCAGCGGGCTTCTCGCAGATGGCGTCCTCGGAGAGGCGGTCGAAGAACTCGAACAGCTCCTTCCGGTTCAAGATGACGTCCTCGCTCTCTCATCACGTCTCCCTCTTCTTTCCTGGAACTCCGCCGCGACCCTTGCAGCACTTGTGAGGCCATGCCATCTGCTTCTCTTCGCGTAGCGCTCCGATGCCAAATGCCGGGCAATTGTAACGGCGATGCCCCCTTCTCGAGGCAGACTCTGGCGAGCAAACGCCCCTGACAAAGGCTGGCTGGACAGGTTAAAATGGAGGCAATAAGCGTTCACTCGACTTTGCATCAGGCCGGGCAGATCTCCAAATGCTGAAGCGCTGGCCCCATCGCCGTGGCTACTGCAGCCATGCTCGAGGGGCAGCGGCAGAGGTCACTCGCTTTGCAAATGTGTTCGACTGTCACAAAGGCTTTGCTGTGCCCTCTTCGGGTGCGTCAAAGAGGGGGGCCAGGAAGAGGGGGGCGGGGGCATCATGGCCCGAGGCATGTGCGCGCGGACGAGGGGCCGGGCGGGGAGCCGACTGAAACAAGAAGAGGGGGCCATGAAATCTGGGAGACGGAATTTGGGAGATGTCATGACCCTGGCAATACCATCCCCCCTCCCAGTTCTCACACCTCTTCCCTGAGATACGACGTTGCGAAGCACATGCAACATCGCGAAAAATCGCGACTGGAGCCCCAGACCTCACCTTCCTGGCGCGGGCCGTGCCTCCTGGCACCGCGCGAGCCGCTCGGACCTCGACTCGTCCTCCGCTCCCCCGGTCCATTCCCACTTCTCGTGCGGACGTCGCGCTGAAGGCCGCCTTCAGTGTATGACGGAAAGAAGGGCCGCCCTCAATTGTGAGCACCCCATGCAAGCGAAGCGCGCCGGCAAACGCAGCCCGAAGAAGGAACCGAACGAGGCAGGACTGCTCAGCAAGCGCCCATGTCTATTCGGCAATCGCCAATTCTTCCTCCCCCTTCCTCCCCTTCGTCGTGAACCGCCTCCTTCTCCTCCTTGTCCTCGTCTTTTTTGGGAGCCAGAGTGGCCTCTGTTCCTCCCCTGGCCGTGTGCCCCGAGGCCCCCGGCGAGGGCGTTCGGCCTCGGGCCCCCGCGCTTGCGCGCCGCCGCGTCGGGGGCGGCGCGGGCCTGCCGCGGGGTGGTGCCAACACGTGAGGGCGCAGGCGAGGAGGCGTGCGGGTGTGCACCCGAAGACCCGGGGCGGTCTCCCTGGAGTGAAGGGGCCACCCTCGACGAACGGGCGCAGATGGGAGGCGTGCCGATATGCACCAGCATCTTTGGGGCGGTCTTCATCGAAAAGGAAAGGGGTGAGCTTCGAGCTGGTGCCGTCCTGGTAGAAGAGCTTTCACCCGGGGAGGATGTTGGTGCAAAGATGCGTCCCTCCGAGCAGGGGCAGCGGACACAGGCTGCCACGCTCTGGCCTGGGGCCCCTCCGCGCCCCAGCGCGGCCTTCCCGCGCAGGCTGCCTCCCCCGTCCCCCCTCTCCCTTCGCGCTCTCGAGCAAGCCGTCCTTCTGCAGGTCCGAGATCTCGAACCTCTCCCAGGTGCCGTCGGGGTTCGAGCTGTCGGCTCGCAGGGACCCGTCGGGCATGGCTATGAAACACTTGCCTCCCCTTCTTCGTCCTCGCCGTCGTCGTCGCCCTCCTCCTCCTCCTCCTCCTTCTCCTCCTCGGTCTCCTCTGCCTTCTCCGTCTCTGTCTTCATCCCCCCTCGGTCTCCTCTGCCTTCTCTGTCTCTGTCTTCATCCCCCCTCGGTCTCCTCTGCCTTCTCCGTCTCTGTCTCCATCCCCTCGTCCCCACTCCCCTCTTCCCCGCCGTCGTGGTCGTCGTTCTCCTCCTGAAGAAGATGTGGAGGATGGATCTGTGACGAAAGACAAGGAGCAGGAGGAGGGAGGAGGTCTTAGAGGAAGAGGAGGAAGAGGACGAGGAGGAGGAAGGAACACGAGGATGTAGCAAGAGGAGGGGATAGGAGGAAGGAGCAGGATGAGACAGAGCACGGAGGAGACAGAGGATGTGGAGGAGTTTAAGAAGGAGGAGGAGGAGGAGGAGACGAAGGACGACAACGTCGACGGCGATGCTGACGGCGACGACGACGTCGACGACTCTTTCGACGATGCCCTCAGCCCCCTGGTGGCGGGCCCTCAGTGGTGGCCAAGAGCAGCCCGCCGCCGCAAGCGTGCTCCGCGAGCTCGAAGCGGGCGGCCTCCCCTCGCGGATCCCGGCGGCACTACCGTCGCCCTCGCCGTCGTGAGAGAAGGACCTCGAAGACGACGAGGAGGACCTCGAAGATGACGAGGAGGAGCAACTCAAAGAAGAGGACCTGCGTGGGTGAACAGAAACCAGAGGCGAGAAAAGCTCTGCGTGAACGGACGGACGCCAAGGGTGAGAACACCAGAGGGCGAGAAAACCAATCGAACAAACCTTACGTAAGGTGAAACACACGGGTGACAAAACAAACCCGCCGCCGCCGCCGTCGTTTTCACTGTCGTGATGATTGTCGTCGCCGTCGCCGGCGACGACGGCGGCGTCAATGTCGTTTCGCGAGTTTTCTGGACCTTTCCGGGAGCGCTTGAGAAACGAGCCAGGATGGGTCTCGGGAGGGATCCGGGATCTAATTTTGAACGGATTTTGTTCGACGGCGGCGGCGGCGCTGGCAGCGACGACGACGACGACGACGACGAGCACGACGGCGGGGGCGGCGACAACGACGATGGAGAAATCCGTTCAAATTCACTTCCAGCTTCTAGATTTCGGATCGATTCTCGACGGCCTCGGGGCCCGCCCCCCCCCCCCCCTCCCGAATTCGAGATTTCCAGGGGGAAATCAAACGCCATCTGCTTCGATCCTCGGCGGCGGCGGCGGCGAGCACGGTGACGACGACGACGACTTTTCGATCCTCGGACGTGGCGACGGCGGTGGCGACGTCGACGACGCCCTCCGCTACGAGCGGCGACTGCGGCGGCGTCAGGCAGGGGGCCTCCACGTCGGCGCTGTCCGCATCCGCGCGCACGCTCCCATCCCCCTGGACCGCCAGGTACCTGCTGGCGGAGGAGGGGGTGGTGCCCCCAGCGGCAGGGGGGGAAGTGGAGGGAAAAGGAGGAGGATGATTTATGACCGAATGTCGAGATTATTCTGCGCTCGGTACTCTTCCAGGAGGGAGGGGCGGCGGGAGGACGAGGAAGGGATTGAGGGGTCGAAGTTCTGGACTATTCAGCGCCGCCGAGACGAAGCTGGCATTCGGAGCCTACGTCCCAGGACAAGAGGCCGTTATGGTTTTGGTTCAGTTCTGGCGCGTTTCCTTGATCTCGGGCGAATGCGTTCCGCTCGTGGGCCCCAGGATCATCAGGAATTGATTATGGGGAAGAGGTCGAGAACTCTGGAGCCCGCAGATTGCAAAATAATCCGTTGGTGGTCGGGGAAGATGAGCAGTCTTGTAAAGTCGTGGGAAAATTGGGATCTGGATCTGTGAGAGGCTTGGCACGTGCAGGCGTGAGTCATCAAGAGAAGTGGAGACAAATGGGGTTGGCGATCAAAAAAGATAAGCATGCAAACTTGAACAGCATGAACACTGTCATTGGGGAAGCACCTGCCATGGTCTGATTTGATGGCGACTCTCCCGTCCTCCATCGCCACCAAGAAGAACTTCTCCCAATCGCCGCAAGGGTTCTGGCTATCCTGCTTCCCCCGGGAAATATTCTTCAGATGTTCTCTTTTCGTGCCGCCCATCTTGCGAACGACAGATGTAGAGAGAATCGCTTGGGCACCACACCACTCCGACACTGGCCTTAGTTCTCTTGCCCTCCATCATGGAACATCTATGTCTCGTACCCTCATGCCTCTCCTGCGCGCACTCGACCCTTCGTCACCACCATACCCTAGGCCGCGGAGAACAATAACAACATGAGGAACACATTGCAGAGAAATATGAAGAGGACCACGACGATAAGGATGAGGACAAGCAGGACAAGCCAGGGACCGAGACTTTTTGGCCTGTCGCGCGAAATTGCCACCCCCTCCCCAGCGACGCCTTTTCTCGCATGAGTAATTCCTCGCGAATGCTGGCTTGTATGTGATTTACCTTCGGAGCTCAAGAGCGTACTCTGACATATAAGCTTGGCGACTATCACAATGTGGCGTATCTACACTGGGGGCCCTGAAGTAAGGCTCTCTTTACCTATGTGCCGAAGCGTGTCCGTTCGATATGAACCAAAAACTTGATACCGTACCAAACACCTTTGACCTTTCAACCTACATTACCCCATACCGAGCATCGCACATTGAGATCTGTAATGACTAAGGTCACTATCTGGATGTCTCGTGGTGCCTCCTGGCCTGTTGAGGCGTGGTGGAATGCGGAGGGCTGTCTGGGACGATTTCTGCGGGTCTTCTGAGGGCCCCCGCACCTCTCTCGACACACTGACTCGCACACTGACTCGCGTACTTTCCCTCCTCCCTCCTCCCCTTTTCCCGAGGCTCCCTTGGGCGGCCCAACGCCTCCCTGGGGCTCTCCTTGGCTCTCGAAGGCTTCCAAGGCGACCCAGACAGCACTAAAGCTGTCAAGGTAGCCCAACATTGCCGACACTGAGACGCGCTCAATAGGTCCCGAGAAACCTCCAACAGCTGCCTAAGAGGCCCTCGAGAAGCCAAAACACATGTGGTGATATTATAAAGGTTTAGAATGGTTTTCGATGTACACACTCTTCGGCTGAAAATCGGTCCTCTTCCAGCCTTCGAGGTCGAGGGCCCAAAGGGGCCTGCTAAAAGCCGTAGACGACCTTCTGGGCGGTGCTCGAAGGGCCACCACACAGAGTGCTTCGCTGACAAAGTGGCAAATTTGCCGCAGGCACAATGACAGTAGGAGCAGATTCAGAACTAAGTGTGGGAATTCCGCCAAGCTCGCAAAAACCCGGCGATGGCTGCACAACGCTGCACAAGGTCTTGCAAAAGGGCTCTGGACACGGCCCCGGGGAAATAAATCAGGAACAAATGCATGGGTTACCCGCAATAAACAGCACATTAATGGGATCGATGGCAGCCTGATCCAAATGACCACATCATACGTATTTAGATTTGCTTGGTCCGACAAGTGCTCGATATTCCAATATAGCCAATCAGAGGAATATCGCCTACCAAGTTGTAATATTGACTGTACCCGAAAAAGAAAACGCGTGATACACAAACATCATCTCTGGCGGCCGCCACGACCCGTCTCTCCCGCCCGCCACTTTGATCTGCCCGTCGGGCATGGCAACCAAGTAACCGCCATGCTCGCATCTGATCACCTTCGTGACCTTCCGGCGGAACGGACAAGCCCCGCTCGCGGCCACCGCGGTTACCGTGAGGGCGTAGGCCGTTTGAGGGCGTCGACGTCGTCGTCGACGCCATCGTCACGGTGGAGGAAAAAACAAGAAGGGAGAGGAGGAGGAGGATGAGGAGGAGGAGGAGGCCATTGGACTCCAAAGCTTGGTAGCCACCGACACTAGGTGTGGCTGTCCAGGTGCAGCTCGGGCCTCAGGCGCGCATGCTGCCGCGACATGCTACAGTCTTTCGTTCATCTCTCCTCACGCTTATCACATCACGGCTGGCAAAAAGAGCCAGAGGAGCCAGCATGAACCCACGTGGCACAGGAGAAAAAGACACATCAGAGCCAAAACCAGAATTCTCTCGAAGGTAGCTCGTGCAGTCAACATTCCGGGTTCTAAGCGTTCGTTCTCACAAAGTGGGGCCTCCCAGCAGCAGACGCTCGGCAAGACGTCGCTCCGGAATTCTTTGGAAGTGCGTCAAGAATCAGAGAAGCGTCAAAGGACACCATAGGAAATACTTGTGCGGAAAAAACCTGGACAACAACTATCGAAAAGGGAGTTGCACACGATTGCAAGTTTGTAGGCAAGAGAAAGAGAACCGTAAGTGAATCCGTGCCCAAGGGAGAGGGAAACAGGGACTCTGGCAAAGGAAGAGGCGACTATCCAGCGATACTGAAGCAGCTCAAGGTATTCATATCGCCCGTCATCCCGATCACCCGCACCGAATTGCCCAATCTCCAGCTATGGCAAGCAATACGACTCCAACGACCCTGAAACAGTGAGATCAATACGTTGGCCTCACTCGCAATGGCGGCAAAGAAGACCGACAAGACGTTCGACGACACCATGTTGGAACTAAGCATATAAACCCTATGATTCAGCTCACGGCGAACGCATTTGCGCAACTTGGACAACTGAGGGCAACATAAAGCTATATAACCGACGAGCTCAAGATGTTCTGTGACGAAGCCACCCATATTGATGATGAGGAGAGAAATCTCGCATATTCATTTGAACAGTTTCAGCCCCACATCATTGAAACCGAAACGTTGGAGCAATATGAATTGGACGAAGATGAGGACGATCCCATGGCGGATCATAAATGGCAAGGTCCCAAATTTGGGGTTGCGTCTTACTTGTCAGGTTCACTTCCAAAAAGTGCAGCTGGGGCAGCTGTAACCGCGCCAGCACCAACACCGACACCGCCACCGCCAGCTGGGCTAAGGATGCCCATGGGCGGCACCGCATGATCTTCAGATGCCGCCGACGCCCCAAGCGGGAGCCATCGACTCCTCCGCCACCGTCAGCTCAGCCAACAATGAAATATTACGGGGGAATTATTAATATCAAGCCCAAGAACAGTCAGAACCGACGACGTGGACTCACCAGGAAAAAATGAAGGGCGGGGATCGCAAAACTGACGTAAACACCTCTCTCACAACAAAGAGAAGGTCACAAAAAACTGACGACCGCCACCTAGGGAATTGCGGGGATGTTGCAACGAAGAGGAGGGGTTGGGAATTCTGACGACGGCGCGGCCGCCTGACCCGTTAGTCCCTTTTGCCGAAAGTGAACCGACGACGGCGCGGCCAGAAAACCCCTAAATTGCTTGCTATTGGAGTCGCGCTAGTGTTAATGAGATGCAGTGGATCGGCGGCCAGCCTTCTACCATGATGAAAATGACGCATGGCGCGCTCACCAATGCTAAGCAGCAAGATGATGCCCCTTGCTCATTGGGCCAGCTGGTCATGAAGATGCAGGTTTCTGGCTCTAATGCGGATGGGGCGTCAGGAGGGCCATCTACTGCAGCATGTTCGTCGGCATCAGCGGTGGGTCTCATGCAATTGGAGCGTCGGGCCCTCCGCTGCCAGTGGGCGTCGACGGGAAAGCGCGCAGGGGGGCGCCAAGCTCATCGCCGACGCTGGGATTTTCGCCAACTCCACTAACACCATCGTCAGAACCCCGGACGACAGCCCAGTCTCAACCGACTCCGACGACGAACCGCATGGCGCAGACATTCCAAGCCATGGCCATGGAGACTACGCTGCCGTCGCATGGAATAGGGCCGACGTCACCTACGCCGCAGCGTTCGCCGACACCTCCGCCAGCCCAGCCATCTCTAGCAACGCCGACGCAGCCGAGGCAATATGGACCGAAGTGCAATTGGCGCCGATGAGCTCCGCCGGCTTTCGGCCGTTGCTCGGGCGTGGGCGCGCCGGGATTGCGATGGGCGCTGCCGACTCGCATGCGACCACCTGCGAATCCGAGCTACTGGGCCGCCATTGAAACTCCCGGAGTGAAGCTGACGCCGCCGCGTTGTAGGCCCTCTCGGGCGCCCTGAAAGCTGTCTCCTGGAGAGGTGCCAGACCTTCAACCGTTGGCTCGATCGCGCGACGGAGATCAAACAGAAGCGCGCCCCACGAGCCGACGCTGGCTGGGCGCGCAGCCCCTGCCCCGTCGATCGGCAGCTGCCGAAAAGTGCCCGAGCTGCGCCCTGCCGTTGCCGCGCCTTTCGCGCCTCGGGGCCCTCCGCGCCGCGCAATGTGTTCGTGCCCGCCAGCGCGGGGTGCCGTCCCTCAACGGCTCTTGCCGAAAGCGTTCGGCTCGCGTGACTGGTGCGACCGCCGACTCGCAGCCAGCGCCCCTGGAGCGCTCGGGCGCGCTCAGGTTGCGATGGCTCGACGCGGCAGTCCCAGCGGTCCACCTCGCGGAGGCCCCGCCGATCGGAAGAATGCGCTGCGCGCCCGCCTGGAGAGCGAGCGACCGAGCAATGGGTTGCCGAACGTCGCGAAGTGCGCGCGACATCTAGGGGGCTCGAACCAGAGCGGCCGCCCGCGCGGTGGAGGTAATAGTTTAAAAAAGGAGAGAGAGGCGCGTGAGGCAGCGGCGTCGGCTTGGGCGAGATCGGCTGCATCCCCCTCTAAGGGGTCGTCGTTCCGAGAGCACTTGGCTGGGCGGTTGACCTCGATGCCCTCCGAATTGCTGGCGGAGGTTCCTCCGGGCTAATATTCTCACTGTGCCCAGCGCGGGGCCTGGGGTGAAACCTGGACTCGTCGGCCCAAAGGTCGTCTTCCTCTGTTCGAAGAACCCGGCGCAATCCCCGGCCCCATGGGCCCTGGCGACCTGCGGCGAATCGCCCGGGTCGGGGTTGAGATATCCAGGGTCAACGGGCTCAGGGCGGGGCCTGCCGGAGAACTAACCACCGAAAAACTCATCGCACCCACCGGCAAGTCTCACACTTTCCATCTCAGCTTCTTCGGCCAACTCGAAACGTTTGGCACTCAGCTTGGGCCCTGCAGTGGCTGGGGCAAACGGAGGAGGCACCCGTGGCAATCTAGATGAAACTATTCAGGGCCGCGTGAGAAGTGGCCCCCCCAGAGCATTTCAACCGCGAGTCCGATTTGAAATGCCCAAAGTGCATCGTCTAAGGCTCGAACGCGCAACATCTATGGCATCCAACTCTCGGGTGCCATGGCGAAATCGATATGCGAACAGCTTGAACTCCCTATGCAAACGTGCTCAACGTCTGCCCGACGAATGACGCCTCCGACCTGACGGCAGAAAGCTGATTTCCTGAAAACTTCGGCGTTGATGTGATAACCGCCGATCACCAACCACGCCAACTTCAAAGAAGAGACGACAACACTAAACTTGGAGCATATCTTGGCGCTGGGGCCTGAAAACCAAGCGACGGATGCGCGTACAACAGAACCACAAGAAACGAGAAACCATTTATGCGCATCAAGGTCGGCATGCAGCTCGGCACATTAGCTGCTGGCGCCTTCTCGAGTCACACGATGGACTGCATGATGCCCTCGGGCGAACATGATCCCCCCCTCGCATCGACGAGCGCGTTCCACTACTCGCAAAGTAACTACTCCCAAATGGCCTGGATCCGCCGCGGGGGATGTATATGTATATATATATATATATATACATACATAGCTCGCAACGGTTCCCGGGCCAGGAATCCTTTTTTCTCTGGGACACCAGAGGGCCAGGCATTATCAAGAGCCGATCGAGCTGAGAGGCGGCAGAGCCTGGACGTGGAGCGCGACTGCTCTCGCGTGAAGCACCTGCGCGGCCCGCGCCCCGTCAAACTTGCGCGAAGAGGCGTGTCGGAATGGCCATGGGAAAACTAAGAGCCAAATTATGAGGCCGGGCCGAACGTGCATCGCATTGATGATGCACTGAGTGGCGGCCAGAGCGAGTGGGCGAGGGTACTCGGCGGCCACGGCGGTGCGCTTTCGCCCCTGCTCGTCGTTGCCCTCTAGAATAACATGATGATTGCCTGTCCTGCTGCAGATGCCTCTCTCGCCTGTGCGCACTCGTTCCAGCGGGCGTGTGGAACAGGTGCCCCGGGACAAGATGGTGGTAGCCTTTTTATACTTGGCCCCATGCTGGCACTGGTGCAATACAGACTTATGGCAACAAGATCTGCGACAAAGACGAGCGAACTGTGGGCGCGACCAAATTTGCGAGGTCTGCGGACTCTCGAGAATTATCCCGGCAAAGCAACCTAACAGCGATGTGTATGAGCATATCTGGAAGCATTCCCCTTTAGATTCATGTAGGATTCCAATTGTAGAATTCTGGTGCACTCGGAGTCGCAATCGCATCCGCAATGGCAGTCGCAGTGGCAACGGCAGTCCCAGTCGCAGTCGCAGTGGCAATGCAGGGCAGACAAAATGTGGTACAGGAATGGTGTTCTGGGAACACGAAGAACACGAAGTGGCCTACAGCTGGCTCCAGGCATTCAGAATGTGGCCCGGGAATGGTGTTCTGGGGACACGAAGAACACGAAGTGGCCTACAGTTGGCTCCGGGCATTCAAAATGTGGCCCGGGAATGGTGTTCTGGGAACACGAAGAACACGAATTGGCCTACAGTTGGCTCCGGGCATTCAAAATGTGGCCCGGGAATGGAGTTCTTGGAACTCGAAGACCACGAAGTGCGCTACTGTCTGGTTAAAACGAATTCCCCGGCATC